GGTTTTTTGTTGTTAGTTGGTTGGGTTTTTTTTCAGTCTGGCGGCTAACTGCACCCTGAGTTCCATCTTAGAAAAGATGTAAATAAACTATAAGTGTGCTCAAACTGTATAAAAACAAAGAAAGGGTATCAAGGAAGTATTTGCTGTTTGAAAGTATTTTCCCAGGCAGCAGCCTCTTTGGTCATGGTCTTCAGGGCATCAGTTGATACTAGGATGCAGAAAGTGTTCTCTGAGCATAACAAGAAAGTAAAACTTGAGAGTTTCAGGCTGAAATACTAAATCTTGTTTGAAAGTTAACAAGCCAAAAGGAAAACTGAATGTGTTCCAGTCACTTCTGCTAAGCTGGCAGTGCATCAGGCTATTAAAACTATAGATAAGACTTTACAGAGAGAGTCACCTTCACCTTTATGTAGATAAAGACTTCTTATGCCATAAGTTTCTGAAGAAATGCAGCATTTTGGGGTTTTTTTTTGGTGTGGGTTTTTGTGGGGGGTGTTTCTGTTGTGGGTTTGGGGTTTTTTTGAATTTTTTTTTTTTTTTAATAAAAGCTTTTAGCTTATACGGCTTTGGGGAAGGAAAAGCAATCTTTCTGATACAAGACCAAAAAAAAGTGCAGTGGTATTTTCCAAGGTTTACAGTCCAAAACCAATTCTGCTGCTTAGAGCTTTTTGCAGTGCAGCAGAATGAAAGGTGACTAAGTATGTCATTTTTTTCATCACTTTTTTTCTCAGCTTGTCTTTGGACAGCTGCAGGCTAAGTAAATTTTGAGCAATAACAGAGGTACTAGAATGTGTGATGGATTTCAGTATGGAGTTTATACTTGTAAAATAATAGTAAATTACAATTACTTTAAGGATTTTGAATTTTATTTTATTTCAGGAGGCTATGAACCCCCACTTACAAACGTCTTCACGATGCAATGGTTTCTCACCCTCTTTGCCACTTGCCTGCCTAACCATACAGTTCTGAAGATCTGGGATTCTGTATTCTTTGAAGGCTCTGAAATTATACTGAGAGTAGCTTTGGCTATCTGGGCAAAGTTAGGAGAGTAAGTGGTCATTTTTATCCGATTTTCTTTTCAGTATGGGCGATGTGTGTAGCTTATGTTGTTCTGAAGAGCATGTTCTCAATTCTAAATGAGATGCCATATTTCAGGAGAATGATTCTGCTTTGAAAAAGCTGCACAAAGTGCCTCTGTGGCTTCCCCAAAAACACATGCTTCTGACATGGCATGATAATTAATTGACCCTTGCTGCAGGAAATGTCTCCAGTTGTTTGTGTTGTCTGTGTATAATATCTTCACGCTATGCTACAAGGTTAGTTGGACTTTGCAGAACATAGACCTCTGAGGGAGCTGGTAAATGCTCTTTGGAAAGACAGAGAGAAACTTGAGGGTGACTAGCTAATTTAGTTGGGTACCTGAAGCTGGGGATGTTAATTCCCTTATTTTCACTTAAGGATTTGAACTCATTGGCTATACCTGAGCAAAGTTCAGTGTTACTAAGAGAATGATTTAGTGTTACACAGTTCTTTTCAATTAAGGCTTGCAAACAAATTTTCCTGAAATTCTCTGCTTTTAAGTACATTCTAGCCAAGCTTCTATCATAGTCCTTTATGGCCTTGGAAACTCACCACAAAGGACAAAACGTAAGAGATGGTTAGTTCTTCAAAACTCCTCTGTTGTCATAGCAAATATTTGCATTCCAAAGAGTGTACAGTGCTTCTGGAGAATTGAGTTTTGTCACTGACTTCAGTGGGAGGTGAGAGCTCTGACAGGTCGAGCAGATGTTAGTTCAGCTGGATTTTTTTCAACTGGTGTCAGCAGCTGCATCAAATTTTTCTTGTGATGCCTATCAACACTTACCTTCCCTTTTTCCCTGAGACTGAACCACTGGGATTTGTGTTCA